GCGATCTTTTAATTATCATGAAATACGTGAAAGCAAATTTCTTCGCAAAAATTTGTAATAAGCAAATACAATTTGCTAAATTTCTTTAGCGCGCAATGCTTTTGACTATTGTATTTAATCAGTCGTCAGTTTAGACTCTGAAATAAGCTTTTTATAAAATAAATATGTAGTATACATGTAAATAACCCAGAAAATAATTTAGATTCTTAATTGAAGTCATTCTAAAAGGCCTACCCAAGAAGTGCTGAAAAGGGGGGCTTCCTAGCATGCCTTCTATTTACAATTGACACGAATGTGTTAGTTATATTATTACGCATTACAAATAAATTTAGATATGCATTTTAGATTGCGATAAAACATATTTGATAATATCATATTATGAACCTTAAATAAATACCTCCAAGGAGTATGATATTTATGAGTTAAGGAAGCAGCTTTATAAGAACTCCTCCAAAAGGCCTTCTGAAATACGTCCTGCAAAAGACCTTCTAGAAGTTTTTCTATGTGTAGTGAAAGCAGAAAGTCTTCAATTTGTGTCACCACATACAAAAAAGAAAGGAATGCAGACTCTCAAGAAGGCGTTTTGGAAGGGCTTTTAGCTCCTGAAATGACCTCCTGGGAGTAAATATGTATGTATGCATGTAAGTATTTCCATATATTAGAACTATTATCTAGCCCCTACCTTATTTGTTACGATTTCCCAATTTGATTGATGGCTGTTTCCCAATTCTTTTTATCAATATTTTCTGTCAGAAGTCTTATCTTTAAATGCCTTTCAATTAATTCTGCGGGACAGTCAATATAATCTATCCCGAAAATATTAATCGCGGGTAGATACGTTTTTTGCAAGTTCTCCAATTTTTCTTTTCTTTCAATTTTATTGCAATCCTTTGAAAATTCCAATGCACCTCGGGGGGTCAGTGGCACCCAGTTATCACGTGAACTAATTGGATTCCACAGCACAACTTCACCAACAACTTCACAATAAAGGCCAATTTTTAATTCCACATCCCAAGTGACAAATTTGAAAAGCCGTAAACATGCTGAGCCTTCAGGCAAGGTATACTTCCTGTGGATTATAAAAAATATAGAAGTAAAGCTACTTTAGCAGAGCAAAGTTTATTAAAAACCTCGGTAAATATGGCAGTTTAATGTTTTCCAATATAAGGTATCCGTCCTGGTGGTGGCTCAGCTTGCCGATTACTGTGCAACGTCCTTGATGAAGTCGTGAAAAGTTTCGTTCCAGCGCCAGTTCCTCCACCAAAAGAAACTTGTTATAAAAGCAGTATTCAGGTAATTCTAAAACGTCAGCTGTTTCACTTAATTCACTTTTCTCCCCTTCATAACCATCAAGCATTATAATTAATAATTCCACGCATTCATTTAGTAAAGTTCCAAAATTTATATTTTGCAAACAGAAATAAATAACACCAAATGCCATAAACAGAGATGGCAGCGATTAATCATTTGATTAAATTAATCGATTATTTTCGTTCAATTTAAGATTAGGGTGTGTATCATGAACAAACGACTCAAGATTTTAGTCAAGAGATTTGACCAAGCAAGAAAAATGCTGAAAATAGTTGCAACTAGGAAAATACATAAGAACTGTTAACCTGGCATCGTAAGGGCTAAACGAAAGTTCCTGGCCAGAAAAGGAACCTGTGATAAGGAAGTTGTGGCATGCGTCATCACGCAAGCGAGAAAACGGCCGGTTACAAAAACAATGGCTTCTCGTATGTAAAACTGTCATACCTAAACAAAAGCGCAAAATGCAGAAATAACACCAACAAAAGGCATGGGCTTTTTTGTGTGATATACGAAAATGACAGTTTCGGCGTTTTCTTCACTTCCTAACGCCCTGTCAAAATCAGATTTTCCAACCGCTGAGCATTGGCGCCGCGTTATTTCGGTATGTTTCTAAGGTTGGTGTTATGCAGAAATTTTGTTTGGTAAACTGCGTGCAATTGTTGTTGCAGCAAACTCGGAGAGAGTGAGTTTGGCGACTCTCACAGCAAACTAATTTTGTTTGGTCAAACTGCAGCAAATTCGGTGTTATCATATACAAAAATTTTAAATTGTGCGCGTTATGTACATCTGAAATTCTCATTTCGTGTTGGCAATAGCCATAAAAACCATAATGAACGTGCAACCCTGTGCCAAACTCCACATAACCACCTCCGAGCAAACTAAGCAGCCGCCATTTAATTTAGCAAACAAAAGTTTGTCTGCATAACACCGACCATACAAATTGTATGGCAAGAGAAATTTTTGACAGCCTGACAACGCTGACGCTTTTGTTTAGGTATGGCATAAAGTGTTGGTTTAGACTTATCGATTTATCGAGGTTGCCATGTTATACTGTGTTCACAGCAGTTGGCCTCGCAAATGGGGATAATCTACTTATACATATGTAAATCTAGTATATGCCCATTGTAAAAGCTACAAACTAAGGCTTTCTGCACATTGGTCGTCCCATCATAGTTGCTTTGTTGTCACAATCATGATGCAACGATTACATGACAACTACACTTTCACACACTAGGTCGTGGTATTTCAATATATTTGGGGTCTACAAATTCGCTTAGAGCAGGTATTTTCTGTTACAAATCCTGCAACTTTATAATTATGAACTTTTCCTTTACCTCTCTTCTTTTCTTTTCCTGGATGTGTTTTGTTCACGCACGCAAAATACTTTTAACAGTTTCGTCATATTTTATAGTTCAAACTCTCACATTTATTTTGAATTTTATTGCAATTATCCACTTTTTAATAATTTCCACTGATTTAATGCAAGAAAGTAACGCAAATATTAACTTTTCACTAATTTTTCACCATAAAATGTAAGCAAGTAATTCATGCATAACGCTTAGCAAACGACAGTGTCGTACTTATCCTAGGGATGTCGGAAAATATGGATGCATCGAAAATATCGATGGTTTCCACTCGATGTATAAATAGTCGATTTATCGATGTTTTTTGAAGACTGACATCTTCGGTTCATTGAAGCGTTATTCCAGTTTTTCAATTGTTCAAAAAAGAGAAGTGACTGTGACCAAAAAATTTAAATGGCTGCAAGAAGTTCCGCTAAAAACATAATTACTCAGTTGCAGTAATTTTCAAATTTTCTACAATTTTGCTAAGTAACATATTTTGGTGTGAAACATTATCTGAAAAAGCCTATGCAAATCGATGCATCGATATATGCTCTTCGGTGCATCGAAAAATATCGACGTATATTTGCCACTGATATTCCTAACTTATTCGTTTCTACAAGAAAAAAGAAAAACATCGATGTATTTGCTACTGGTATTCCTAACTGCACGTCTATACCCGCGCTCTGGCGCTCGCATACGAACTATCAGTTTTATCGCATGCGAAATCTTATCGCTCGGCTGTGCTCGGCTCAAAATTTCCGGACGAGACGATGTGTATGTTATAAAACATACATTTTTGTTCCTATGTAACTCATCTCTTAAAACCGAACTAGTTCAGTTAGGTGAACTATAGTTCAATAAGGTGAACGAACAAAGAATCAGAAGAGCTAATTCATTGAGCTGAATGAACTAGAAGTGGGCTAATCTTTAAAGTGGACCCAAAAATCCAACTCTAATTTATATGTAAAAAAAAACTTTTAGAATTAAAAAACATTGCTGTAGTTTTGCTTTCAGTCCGATTTTTCGATCAATTTAATACTGGATCGATTTTCAGTAGTCCGAACGCTGGCATAGGGTGCCTCATAGTACATATGAATGAATGTGAATTTGAGAATTTGTGTGCATCAATGATATACGACTAGTTTTAGTTCTACCATATTAACATAACAAATTTACCAGAATTAAGTTGTATATTAGAAAAAATAACACATTTGAATTCATATTTCTTGGAAACAAAAAAATTAAAAGTAAAATTTTGCATTCCGATTTTCGAAAGACCGCCCTGTAAAGCGACACTAAACATAGCCATTTATTCGAGCATTTGCAAAGAGAATGGCGATAATCGATGCAACTCTGTAGGCGAAAATTTGGAAGAAGTGGCTGAAATTAGAGCTGGGATACTATCGATAGTACCGCCCCTCGATAGTTGAAAACATCGATAGTACTATCGTCGTGAAAGGTATTGAATTGACACGCTCAGTTGCTTGAAAATTAAATAATTAATAAATTTATAAATTATTTTGTAAATTAAAGAGATTGTATAATTTTTTTATTATTTGAGAGCATGAATCAAACTTATTAATTTATGCGTCTGAATTATATAACTTATATACATACACTTGCATCCCCTTAAACAGCGACAGGCAAAATCTGAATATATTTTTTTATAGCAAAATTAAATTCGTATTTTGTTTGTCCCTTTTGTTGTGCAAATAAGTGAAATTAGCTATAAAAATACATTTTTAATACTACAAAAAAAAAATAAAAAAAAAATAAAACACATTCGTTTAAATTGAAAACTATATATAAACTGAAAACTATAATGTATTATAAAAGTTCAACTGAGATCAAATACGGAGGCGCATATCAAAATCCGGACAAGGGAAATTATTAACATTTCACCATATATAAGAAAACGAATATAGTACTGCTCAAAATAAAAGCACAACAACATTTTTTAGCACTTTTGACTATTTTTTTCTTTATTTAGTGTCTACTAATTTTTTATAAAAGTTGTACAAAACATAAAAAACTACAAAACAATCAAAAATTCATGCGTTCCATAAAAATTTTGTGTAAGCAGTTTTATAGCTTATTAAATTTTACTATAACTCAGTGTAAGCTTATAGTTGCTAAAAATCCAAATGACTTAAATTTGTTTTTGCCGACTGTGTTGTAAAATCTCTTGCTTAAAAAGAATTAATGTAATGTGATGTACAGAAGAGACATTGTGAAGTTTTGCTAAAACCGACATCGATAGTTTTCAAAACCTATCGATAGTGGCGACAGTTGTCAACTATCGATACTATCGATAGTATACCAGCTCTAGCAGAAATTGTGAAAATTTGTACGTGAAAAGATCAAAATTATCGCCGAGGTTGACGAAGTCGCAAAAGGAGCAAATATTTTTGGTAATTTGTGGCGTGAAAATAGTTAAAAATTGTGTGGAAATCTTCATTGAAAAATGTTTGAGATACTGGACAATATGAAAGTAATGAAGTAATGTGTGCTGAAGCTTAAAAAATGTGAAAATAAAATTATGAATGTTGGGAGTACATAGAGAAAATAGTCACAAGCAATTATAATAGAAAGAGGGGCGAACAAGCTGGAATGCAAAGTGCAGCAGAGGCAGAGCGTACGCCAGCGGAGCCCCAAACCCCAACCTCAAAATTATACGAGTAGAGATTACTTGGTCGGTCGGTTAATGTGTTGCGAAAAAGTCGAATAATTGCGAGGAGTGGCGGCGCCCGCTACGAATAGATGAGCTAGTTACGCGCAAAACGCACAAAGCCGAAGGACAGAATGTCTGTAACAATTCTCCAAGTAAAAAAATATACTTATATATATATGTATATCTATGTGAAAGTTATATGTAGTGACTAAAACAATTGTGTTAGTTGAAAGTGTACGTATGCCGCAGAAGAAAAGCATACCAAAAAGAGTTAGTGAAAATGGGCCAAGAAAAAAAAACTACCAGTTTTCAGTAGCTTTAAAATATAACTTATTTTAAAGCAACGCATATTTTAAATACTTTATCCATTTTTAAACTATCATATTTCAAACAAACGAACATATTGGAGCACGTACATATGTACATACATAAATCTATCACATCTTTTTTATGCAACTCGGTTCTCCTTTTGTTCCAAATCTTTATCATGCATTCCCTTTTGTATTCTACTACGAGGTTTTTAAGCGGCTGTTGGATTTATGTCAGATTGGAAACAACTGCGATGCAACAATGCGGCTAGCAAACGCGTAGCAGAGACAGCAACGTCAGCGTCGACTTTGTCATTCATTACCTTGCTTCTGAAATATTATTAGTCTTCGATATAAATTAAGCATGAATATGTACTACGTAAGCTCAGTGCGGAAAAGATTATTAATTAGATACATAGTTGTTATATAATAACGTTGTTGGGCACGAACGTTTGATAATTTTAAGGGCTACATTGTGCGACGCCGGCAGTGCTCTGCTAACAGCGCTGTCAGCGTATTGTGATCGCGTTCTTGCAGCAGCATTTTTATTGTTGCGGCCCATTTTGCTGCGAGCGAATTCTGCTATGTATTGGGGGATATCTTCGGGAGCATTCGGCCCACTTTTGTAATCGGCCTTCTGTTCGGTATTAGGGCTGCCAAGTATCTTAGTACGATTTGTTTATGAATACGTTTGGTATTCATTGTATTGCTTTTAAAAGAACTCATATTTAGTAATTATTCTTTGACGTAGAAGGTTGAAAAGTTGTTAAGAAATGTTGATCTATGTATTTGTAACGAGTATTAATTCATGCATAATATACCAATCGATCTAAAATCTGTAAAAATTAGTTTTAAAAGAGCTTGCAGTATTTAGGTAGATCCGGGTGGTATGGAGGCTGATCGCTTTTTGGGCTGCGCAGTTGCTCTGTCGACGTTGCTGTCAAAGTTGCTATTTTTTCCTCTTGACAAGTGTTCTGTTTTATTTCCATTAACGCTATTATTTTTGATACAAAGTTTTTCCGTTGTTGATTTTATTGCCTATATTTTACCAACCGTAGATGGAATAATCAATACAAAATATGTATTTATTTATTTATGAAGAACACGAAATAGTAACAAAATGTAATTTGTGCTACGATGAAATTTGATAAAGTATTCGATTTTCTGTTTGTGAAGGGAAAAGAAAAAGTAGTGGACAACGCACTCCAAAAAATAGATCTAGCAGAAGTTGGATACGATCAAAATTACGGAGCATAAAACGAAAGGAACGAACGTTATAGCAGAAGCAAAGACATTTGGAGACGAAATAACAGAAAAATAGTAAAAAGAAACAAACAAAAAGCACCTAAAAAGGTGGCACAATGCAGTGAAGTATGATAGAAGAAATACGATAAAGTAAAATTGTGAGGAAAAGCAGTGATGTGCAATAAAGGTGCTGGCGTAGTAATCGAAGCGAAAGGTAGTGAAATGATTTTTTTCCCCATTGCATTGTGCGTGCTTGCAGTGAAAGAAAGAAAACAGATAAAGCAGATATGTTAATTAAATCGACCAAAGTCAACAATTAATGGCACTTTAAAACAGCTAAAATACATAATAGCAAAAGAGGAAAAGTCCACAACAAAATCAATACTTTAACACAGTTTGAAAAGAAAACCAAGCGTGCTACAGAAAATCAATTTTCGTGTTTACTTTATTACAGCTATTGCGAAACCATTGCACATGTTTAATGTCTCATTATAAGAGCATATAAAAAAACATATACAATTTACGAAAGCGTAATTTAAAACTGTTGTGTGCGGATCGTAAAACAAGATCGTTGCATTGGGCAGTCGGATTATAATTCAGTTCTCAGTACAATTCAATTAAAATATCTGCATAATACATACATCATCAGCTTCTTGGCGTGGCAGACATACTCGTTCTGCCTTTGATTGACTGGCAGACAGTCTGATTGGCAAGCAGACGGTCCAACAAATTTATTACAAAATTGGGCAGTGATCAATACGATTTGCCAGCCAAACCGACGTTCATATAACCACAGACGAGACAATTTAGATATAAAAAACCTAAAACGTAAAAACATTCAAGATGACTTCACTGGACGTGCGTAACAATTCGGCGGTAATGAAACGAGCCGAACAACTAAAACGCTGGGAGGAATCGGACACAAATCGCCAACCTCCAACGCCACGTCCCGAGCGCGGACGTAAAATTAAATTCTCCTCTGGCTGTGTCTTTTTAGCCGCATGTATGTCTGGTGATAAGGAGGAAGTGCTAAAGTTGCTTGAAAATGGTGCCGATATTAATACAGCTAACGTTGATGGATTAACTGCCTTACATCAGGTGAGATACAACTTAAGTATTGTTTCCTTTCTTTTGTAAGAATATGCTTTTTGTTACAGAAATTAAGACTCAGATGCATATCTAATACATATCGTCGTTTAAAGTACAAAAGCGCGTATCGTCATTCTGCAAAACCGCGTAACTTACATTTGCTGGCAAACATTGGATTTGCTCACACAAGCCCTTGGCTCAATCGTTATCTATTCGTCCTGAAATATACTAGCCAGAAATGTGATTGCTTTATAAAAAGAGAACCATTTTGAAATATGAGTGTTTTTACTCTCTAGAAAATGTTTTTTGCAACCTTACATACGCGGTTTTGCATTATCTTGATACGCGGTTTTGTACTTTCAACGACGATATGTATTTTATCTATGACATATCAATACCTCCAAACCAAACCATGTTAAGTCATTAGAGATCTAGGCAGACTTAGCATAGTAAGGTTTGGAGCCGTCGATATGTACATATGTTGTATGTATGTATATAGAACCCTTTGGTGCATATTCATAGTCGAAATAAAGTAGCTTCTAAAGTTGAATGCAACTTTGTAACTTTGGGAATACGCTTTTTTGTATCTATAAAATTTGAAAAAAAAAAAAATTAAATACTCCCCACCAGAAAGGCTACATTTACATCCTGGAACAATGGATTTGCCCAGAGCAGCAGGGTTTCCCTCCTGGCCCTTGCAACATCTAAATTAAAAAAGCTTTTTCTAACAGCGGTCGCCCCTCCAGCGTAAAACTGTAGGTCCCACCCCTTTGTGTTACAACCGGTGTTGCCAGATTTTATTTTGAAAAAAAACAATTCCCAAGGAAAAACGGTATTTTAAACCAAAAACTGTAACTTCCAAAAACGAAGGGATTTTCAGAATGTTAAGGTTTTTTAACCGACCCCTTTTTATTCAAAGGAGGAAAAACTGTAGCTCTAGTGTCACTTAAAAATTAACTTAAAAAAAACCAAAAGAGAAATGTGGACAAAACTGTAATTTAAAAAAAAAAACCAAAAGAGGAATGTGGAAATGTGTAATTTGTACTAGGAGATAATTTAAAAACTGTAAGCTTTCTCTACAAAATTGTGGAAAAAACTGTAACTTGTACTAGGAGATAATTTAAAAACTGTAAGCTTTCTCTAAAAAATTGTGATGTACATTTTAAACTGTGAACATGGCAACATTGGTGACAACATCAAGACGCTGATCACAGTAGGAGGAGGAGTTCGGCCAAACACTTAGCAAATTTGAAAGCGCCAAAATATCTTTTGATAAAATTGCCATTTCCTAGCCAAACTATTTCTCGATGAGAACCAACTACTCAAAAATATTTCCGAACTAGCGAGTACATGTATACATATGTACGTACATATATGCAAACACGTGAATGTGCCTATTGCGTCAATACAACTCAAGTTTATTTAAATATAAAAGAAATTCACACTGCCAAATAATAAAATCCACTAATAAACTGTATACGTTCCTTTCGTTCTCCTCTTTTGATTCGGCAGTGTATACCTACAACCCCATTGTCATCGCCGTCCAACCATAGGCTCTGGCGCGTTTGGATGCCACAAGGCACAACGTCAAATTAACAAATTCGTTTCTAAAGCAAACGGACGATTTACAAACCCACCAAAAATATGAGCTATTTTTAACTATGAAATTATTTCGCAGGCGCGCTTCTACGTATGTTTTTCGCAAATCATTTGCTTTTGCTATAGTGAAATACGTACATATATGATTTTTAATTTCGTTCATTAGCCGTATGTTTTGTTCAATTTACATAGCGTATGGCCTTTTTGTACATCTATTAGTTTTCGGTTTTCTTTTTAATGCTGCGCTGCTGCTGTGCTCTTGCATTTGCATAGAGAATACGACGCTGCCGAAAGCCTAAAATCATGTGTAAGTGATTAAAAAGCAATGACGAATAGGGCACTGTCGACAGATTGCTGCAGTATATACAAATTGTTGGGTTGTCGAGATACACAAGGGGTTTGTTTGCTTGACTTCATACGATTGCAAAGTTTTTGTGGTGTTTTATCAGCGGTATAGCTAAGTCGTTTCACTTCAAAGACTCATGTGTTTAATCTGTCTTCAAAAGCGTTAAAATATAAAAAACCCAAAAAAAAATGTTCTTTAGGATCTCAATAGACGGTTTCAAAATGGTACAGTATTGTCTTTTCACTACCGTCATCGACCGCATGCGTACACTCCTTGAATGTCCTTGTATTGCCATACGTATCTTTGCGTGATCATTGTCGCCAGACCGATATCGGAGGCCCCTGTCTTTTTTATACCCGAGCGCACCTGTTTTTATTTGGTCTACGTTAATATCCCTTTTCAATCCGTGTTAGGACGACGACAGAGTGAAAATTTTCATCGGTGAGCACGCTTCGGCATATCTTCAGCATTCTTCGGTGGGTAAATCCAAGGGTCGAGTGACCCAAACGCTGTACAAACTGCGAGAGTCAGATCGTCATCAGGAATTCATTAGCCACTAAAGAGCAATATCTTACCATGGTTTTAGATCTGTAGATGACCGCTCTCATCAATCCTGATATGTTGATAGCAGAAAGTTTGCTCTTACTACTAATACTGGGGAAAACCATCAACAAAATTGTAATAGTAGAGTAAAAACTTCAGCTGGTGCGTGAGACCAACGTAATTCTGACACAGTTAAGGTCTGTCCGCATACCAATCCAGATACGACCTCGAGGGGTGTCGCTCCCTTTATCCAACCTCGTCGAAAGTGCACATTTTCTGAGCCCAACCGTTACTAAGTTAAGCTTGTGGACAACGTTCTTAAGATAGCTGGGTAAACGTAACAAGCACGACTCAGATTTATATCTCCACAAAGGCTGTCATTTCAGCAACATGCTCAAAAAGTAGGCTGCTACAACAATAACAACCAACAAAAATAAGTCTTATAACTCGTTAAATATCCCCCTTTTCCTCGGTAACGCAATATGCACTTAGATAACTAACTTTTGGCTTAACCGAATTATCGAAAGGCTTCGTCACTTTTTGCTACTCTATGCTAGTAGAAGACCTTCAAGCCTTCCTCTTTCTCTCACGCGTTACTTATTATCTAAATGTTCGACAATCGTCCGAAACATTTCAGAGGTTACACATCAAAACCACGAAAATGTTCTTCAGTTTAAAGAAAAGCTCACCAGGCGGAGCTTTTAATGCTTGAACAAAAAGTTGCAAGTAGCAGAACGTCTTCCTAGGTACGGCAAAAGGCAGTTCTGTGCCCTTTGGAACAATATACAGGATCCGGCGCTGTACATACAGGCAATTAACGGAATTACTCAAAAATTTTACACTGAAAATTTTGTCATCGGAGACCTTCTGCTTTGGCGTATTTACGGCCTGGATAATACAGTAGGTAAATCACCCACTGATCTATGCTTGAGTCCAATATATCCAACGCATGATACCATACTTAATACATACATATGTTCCCTTTACATGCTGAGAAAAAAACTCCTTTCCTGGGTCTAAAGTTAGATGAGCTTCTCAGCAACACTTAATGGACTTAGTGATCTAAGCAGCTGATACAAAATAATTGAGGCATCCTCAATGTAGATATGTATGTATGTATATGGATATGTCCACTTGGAATTTTTGCGTATAAATCACCATGGTTACTGTCCACCTTGACGTGTACACGTATTATCAACAGACTTAAAATATAATATGCACAAAAATACATATTTAAAAATATTTGCAGGGGTAAATTGAAATGGCATTAACCTCTCTTTTTCAATGACATGACCACAATGTCAGTGTTTGCTGGCTGCTGGCTTTTACTTTAATAAGAAAACAAAATTATAATAAAATTAATATATCATGACACCACTACAAGGATAGCTGAGTAAATCACAGTTACGACATTGGCATTGATGAAATTAAAACAAATAAAAAAAACAAGGCGTTGAGTGGCGTTGCCGCCGAAAGTGGGCGAGTGATCACCCAATCGGTTGGTTGTGTGTCTGTTTGATGGTCGCTCGGAAAATTTGTGTGAAAAGAGGCTAAAAATTTCATTTTAGTATTGATATGTACATACATATGTATGTCCTACATTTAGAAAATTATGGAGCAAATATTTTATTTTTTTTTAATTTTATATAATTAATAATTTGAAAGCTAATGAACCCATAAAAAAATATTACTGGTTAAATTGTATGTGAAAAGTGGCTAAAAATTTCATTTTAGTTTTGATAAGTTCTACATTTAGAAAATTATGGAGCAAAAGTTTTTTTTTTTTGAAAATTGTATATATTTAATTTTCTTCTAATTTCATTAATATGTGAAATTTTTAATTTTTATTTGTGTTTATTAATTCAAAGGCTAATAAACCCATAGAAAAATATTTCTGGTTAAATTGTATGTGAATCTGTGACTTTTTTCCGTATCTCTTCACTCATTTCCTTCAACTCAGTTTCATTCCACCTTTTTTTGTAACTACAAGATTAATATTAACTAAATAAGCGAAAAATTTCGGCCTTGTTAAACCTAACTTATGGCAACAAGTTGAAATATTTAAATTTATTTAAAAATTACCAGTACAACTAAATTCTTTTTCCTCCATTTTCCAATACTACAAAGTCCTGATCGTGGCACACACACAATTTTCTAAGCCGCTTTTAAACAACGCTCGTAAGCCTCTTTAAAATTGTTTTCTATATGATTTTGTCTATTTGCTTTTTGACAAACCGAAAAAAATGCAGCCGAAAAAAAGCAAATAAAAAAACAACAACAATAAATGTTTGTTGACGTGTTTAGTAGCCTTGGCCTCGTTCTAGGCGATTTTCTATCACAAATCAAACATTTCACAGGAGGCAAATGCTGCGGCTAGCGGCAATGCAACAACAACAACAACGATCTTGGCAACGGCAATAACAACGAAAAAATATCGCGAAAAATAATGTAGTTTCATTTGAACTTAATTTGATTTTAATTTTTTGCGTTTGCTTGTTTTGCTGTATTTTTTCGTTAATACTTTGTTTTATATAATTTATAGTGTAATTGTTTTACAAATTGCTCCAAGCTTTTTGCACTTTGTTTTTGCAAAAAAAAAAAAACGAAACAGAACTGCGAAAAATACTAAATTGCGCTGATTTATATATTTATGTGTGTACATTTGTGACCGGTACTAAAGTTTTGCCAGGGGTTATGATTAAATACCGAGTATCTCGGGCTTCAACAACTTTCAGATGAGCTGCAGCGGAGACATCGGCTTTTATATCGATTGTAACTTTGTAGAGCCTCTCGATTTTATTCTGGAATTAATTACTCCTCTTTTATTTATTGTACGGAGTCCTCCTTCGAGATAAATATAATCCTCCATGATAGCTGAAGCGGCCGACGGTATTGGCGAACAGCTTCAAACAAGTGTTCAAGTGTTGATTTTTTTCAAATATTCACAACGTTTTACAAGAAAAATTTTATATACATACATACATAAATCAGAGTTTCAAAATTTTGGTAAATTCAAAAAATTTTCATCAAAATTTCGTGCTTTTTTATCTGAATCTTTACAACATTTTTTAGTATGCAGGTTTTTAGCACATGCAATTTTAATCTCATAAATTGTAAGTTTCAAGCAGCTAAAAAATCGCGTTGATTTTTAATTTTTTTTTTGCTGTCGGATTTTTGCGCTTTTTTCCATATAAGCATGAATTTCTTATGAAATAAAATACGGGACGTGCTAAAAAAATATAGTAAGGTAGAACCGCTTAAAGACACTTCTAAAATTTTTGACGTTTCTAAAAGGGCCCATGCATGATACCAGCATGCTGGCGCCATCAAGTGTTGGTACCAGCCGATTGACCATGTATGTCCTAAATTACTCTTTTGTCGTATTTTCGCTATTAAAAAAGTTTAAAAATTTTTCCAACCCTGGTCGTGGATGTCTTTATTTTGTACGTAGACCACTTAAATTTTACACCAGTGCAATAGTGTATTCCTCATTACAAAAGCTCACTAGTTTACAGTTAAAAAAAAAACTAGAAAGTATCCTGTCCTATTCCTAAATAAGTTCTCTGATTTTCATCATAAAACAGGAAGTTGCTGCGGTTAGCATTTAGAAACACATTGAAGCCATTGAAATCAGCAGTTGAAGTAATGGACTGTGAGAAACAATTTAGTAGAATTAAGCAAAGAACACTGAACAAACCTGAGGACCTACGAACCGCTCCAAGAAATAACTAGGTTAACTTGGCAGAGGTACTTACGCTGTTGACATCGTAAAAATAATATACAGGAGGAAGTTGGAAAACACCCTGTGTGAAAGACTCCAGCTCGGACTCATTGTAACAAAACAAAATGGTATGCCAAAGTGGGACAGAATGTAAGTCCAGCAGAACTGGAGCCTTCAGAACTTGTCCAACCACATCCTTGGAAGTTCTTCTAGATCTTATCCCTCTTCATATTCATATACAGACTCAGGCGAAAAGGGCTCTGCTAAGGATGAATGGAAACATGCATCCGAAGTTTAGCCTTACTAAGAGATAAAAAACTGACCTAAGTAATAAGAAAAGCTGGACAGCCATTCCTAGACATCGGGCACTCCAAAACATGATAACCTAATACACTTATAGCTTATTAACGCAAAGAGGATACCGGGATAGGTGTAGTTGGACCGAAGTTGAGATACTCGACACTTATGGGGAAAATAGTATATGTCCATTTTCCAAGCTGAAACATACACTACAGAAATATGCAGTCCGCGCATCTTATTCTTGACGGACAGTCAAGCGGCTATTAAAGCCTTCAGATCTCATCACGTAACATCTAAACTGGTGATGCCTTGGAAAGCAAATACTCTTGGTCTGACCAATCTAGTTCTTTGGATTCCGGTACAAATTGGTATTGAAAGAAACGAGATTGCAGATGAACATGCCAAGAAAGGAGCATCAACCACTTTCATCGCCCTAGATCGCAGGGGGACTCTCGACCTGTGAACGCCGTTCTGAGCACACAACCACCTGACGTGGACGGGACGGAACTTAGTCTGCCTCGGGGGAGCCGCACCACATTAGCCCAACTTTGCTCTGCCTATTGCAGCAGGCTAAACTCATACCTGAGTAGAATAAACGAAGATGTGCCAAACGAGTGCCCGTCATGCGGAGCCTCGCCACATGACTCACAGCACCTCTTCGCATGCGCCTAAATAAAACCCCACCCAGCTAACGCCCATGTCCCTAAAGTCCCCATGGACAGCCTCTGTCGAAGTTGCGCACTTCCCCTTAGCTGAACCGGACGACAACGCATATGGATAAGCCGACTCGAGTGGGGTCTAGTAGCCGCTACAACAACATCGCTCCAGAGGCCTTCTGTGGCTTAGAAAAAGGGACACGCTCTGCCCTAGCCCAATTGGTGGAAAAGGCTCAAAGAAATCGCTACTGGGACAATCGTAACAGGTTTAGAGAATTCCAAAGCACTTTTAGGAACATATAACCTAAAAAGATTTAAGGAATATATGAGCTTATCCAAGAATAACTTAAGAAGTATGTCAAATGTCTCGACAAGACACTACAGGTGGAACTATCACCTGACCAAACTGGGAACTTACTCACACTAGCGATGCAGATTTTGCAGGACGAATACCGAAGCTGCTCGGCACATCTTGGAAAGGTGTCGTGCACTGATGCATAAACGTAAACGACACTTGGGTGATTATTTAATAAGCGAGGGCGTATTGAAATCCAGAGATTTAGGGTCAGTACTAAAGTTTCTCTCGGATACTGGGTTAATAGATACACTATAAATCCGTCGTATTTTTTCGTTTTATACTTATTTCCACTAACCCTTCTGAATTTCTTTCATGTCTACGTCACTGGCAATTTTTTTTGTTGATAAATTCGTGCTATTGTATCATTGTCAAAAATTTCGCAAATTTTATTTTTGTACAAAGTGAGCGAGTATTTTAAAACATGCCACAAGTTCCGACAATGCTGCTACTTGATGTTAATTGTTGTTGCGCGTACTAGTGTTTCGCTTAAAAAAAAAAGAAATGGACGCCGAAAATTATGACGACAAACAGCGGGCGGTCGGCACATGTGTTTGTGAAATATTTTCGTGTACTAAATATATTTTAGTGTTTCAAAGATCCAAAGTTTTCAAAAAACAACAAACATTCGAATGCAAGAACAACAACAGAGTACAGAGAACCGTAGTTGGCAACAGTTGTGTCTCGCCAAATCAGCGATAGTAATAGCCATCCATGCTGAAGGCGATGGCGATGGAGATGGGAAGCATAAGAAATTTCACACATTGACGCGTAAAATATGAAGTTGTTCTTTTTTTATTTTATTTATTTTTTGTTCTAAAATATTTCATTCCAACACTTGCTACATTTCACTAAACAGTGGGTGGGTGGCTCATTGAGCTGAGGAAATACGCTAAACGCACCCACTCATTCGCTTTTGCCACCTACTGGGAAGGATGCTCCCGCCGCCATATGTACAACTGATGAATGATTTGCTTAATCCAAAAATAAAAATTCGAACTCTTGCAAAAAGTGTATTCATTAGGAGTATGGAAAAAATATTTGTAGCGCGCTGGAAGCGAGTGACTATGACCGCACACACATGCATATATGCACTCCTTCTAGCAACTGGGAGATGAGCGCCAATACATAGTATATATGTATGTATATTACGCGGAAGCGTGTGTTGTTGGGACGAGGAGCGAGATATGTACGTCGAAAAGACCACGCCTCACCAGCATGCTTGTGCCGCCGCAATTAATGTTAATGGCTGGCTGTCGGTGCGTTTTTGCGCGATTTTTCAGCATGTGAATAGATCAGTTGCCTTACACGCACACACAAACACACACACACGCCGAAGCATATTTGGTTTAATGTGGCTTGGTTTGCTTAAATCAGAGGTTCCCAAACTTATTTTTCTCGTAGACCCCTTTCAAAACTTTACTGGTTCATCAAAAAATGTGGCGATTAAATCTAACGATGTAATTTTGCATTGCGTGTGAGTTCCAAAACTAAATTCGGAGTGGCAAAAATAAAAATAAAATATTTTCTTGTGTTTATTTATTAAAATAATGTGATTACACACTTGCAAGTTAAAAAAAAAAAGATAGCTCTTAAAGCCATGAAAGAACTATTTCGCTCTGAGGAGTTATATTTTTTAAGAGCACTAAATAAACTCCTCACATAATCGGCTCACTCATGAATTAGCATGTGATGTATTTGTCAAATAGTTTATTTTTGTTGATGGCATCATTTTTAATTTTATCGCTGCGAGTTTCAAAGTGAAGCTCAAGAAGTGTTCCACCGTTTCATCCTCTTCAAAGCAGGATGGGCAAATGGAGTTGTCACTTACGCCTATCACAGTCAGGTGTTTGTGCCACGTGAAGTGACCAGTCAGCAGTCTCGTCTTCTCAGTGAGGGGAAAAAACTAGATAGACCTTCTGAGATTGAAGGCAACATGAGTTTTGCCCACCTGCTTCCACTCGATGGCTCCCAGTCATTGCCGAGCGAAGTATCCACCCAGTTTCTGATGGTGGCTTCGATGGTCGAAGTGGGAAGTGCTATAACTGGTTGCGGATCAAGGAATGCCTGGTCTAAGCAGGCACTCCTGAGTTGCCCAGCACCTAGTTTGGAAGTACTTAGATCGAAGGATGGCCAATGTCTTAAGTGCAGCTTGGCTGTACCTGTAGACACGTAAATTCCTTCCCGTCCACCTATTTTCCACCACGCAGTCTATAGCTTTGGGGATTGCAAATAGCTCAGCCTGGAAGGCCGAAGCATATTCCCCAAGAGAAAAAGTGAAGCTTATCCCAATTAACTCTTAACTCATTAACTTAATACTCCAGATCCAAACCCTGAGTCAGTTTTGGAGCCATCAGTGCTGGAATTAAACGAGCATTCCCCCTCAGGGAGCTCTCTCACTCTAGAATCTCTTCA